AAAAATTGGGTTCTGAAATGGTCATTTTTCCCCTCTGCTATGCCATTATAGCGATCAGCCAAGCTTCTGCAAGGTAAATACTTTTGGAAAATAAGTGGAAATTTGCTGCAAATCAGTCCCTTTTGTGCATGGCCACAGGAGCATGTTGAAATGTTTGGACACTAATACCCATTCATTTTCTTGGCTCCATAAATAAAAGCCGCCAGCTATGTGGCGGCCGTGAAATGGTATTCTTCAGGACCCAGCAGGAAGCCCCATCCTTATTACCACTGCAGGGGGCAGGACAGGCCCAAAATAGCAAGACAACTAAATCAAGACATTTTCAATGTCTAACAAAATGACTGTGGTTTAGAGAGAAGCAAAAGGTTGGAAAAAATTGGGCGGCTTTTATACTTAGCATAATACCTTTGTTAAAAGAGTTCAGATAAGAAAATCAGATCTTAAAAAAAAAATAATAAAAGGCGTAAGCATATTTCTGAATATCATTTAAAATATATGAAGATCTTATGGAATCATAGACAGAGCACAGTGCTCTCTGAAAGGACATCCTGCTCAAGTCATATTTTCCAAATGGTAGCCCATGCTTCATACTAAATAATGTCTTCTGGCAATATCGTAGTGTTTCGAGGGAGCCAAAAGGTTTGAAAAGAGATATTGGAAATTTGTCAGTAAGATTTGAAATCTTTTTTGGTCCACAAAAATTACAAAAAATAACTATTTATAAGGAGAAAAGGTTTTGGACTAAACCCTTGGTTTTTTCTACAGGTTTATTTAATTTTTATGGGTTTCCTACAGCAGGCAATATGATTCTAGATTTTGTAATAAAAACATACTGAAGTCCTTCAGTCAAAATAAATATGTTAGTGTAACTTGCTGTTTTACATAGCTGAACTGTGCTTAAAGTAGTTTTAAAAACTGAGCTTCAGGTAAATAGGATGTTTTAAGTGTATAAAGAACAATTCAGGGGATACCATCTTGCTTAAGATAATGAAAGATCAGACTGTTGAGGTTTTAATGAATTTACAGTACACTGGTGTTTGCCAAAATCAGTGTGTCATTCTCGCCACTAAAATACATATGGAGGAGATGTTAGTTTTATTTTAATTTTATTCATTTGTGATTCTGATTATAAATTTGCTTAAACTAAATTGAAGTAAGGATATGCCTTATACATTCACATTTCCATGAAGTATATATATATATATAACATATATATATATATGTTATATATATATATATGTGGGCATATATCTAGAAATTTGTACTTACACATACAAGTTGCCACACAGTTTTGGGAATTGAAACAGTTGGAATGTCTTGTTACAGAAGGAAATATTCAGCTTTAGTTTCAAGAAAAAATAACCATTTTACCTTAACATTAAATTTACTTGCACTGCAAAGGAGAAATTACTAAGGTGCAAAATGTCAGAGAAAAATGAATTCAGTGTATTACTGAGTATTGCCTTGTAGACAGGCAAGGGTTTTTGATAATAAAAATAAAGCTGAAAATGAAAAGAGGGAACCACAGTGCTGGTTCAGTGATGTTTCAGTCTTCCCTGGGACTTGAGACTGCCATCAGGCTCAAACTCCCTGGCCATTCCAACTTTTTAATATTGGCTTTCTTAGCTTCACTCTGGAGCAAGGCAGATTGTCCAGGGAAGTTTGTGTACATGAAAGGAGTGGCTCATATTCGATTCTTTCCTTACAGACATAAGAGAGGGAATGGAATGGCCCAAGAAACTCAAGTCTGAAGAGTAAGGCAACACAGCCATGATCCATGCAAGAAACAGGCTGCGTGGTCATGTGCAAAGGGTTCAGACCACCTATCATTATGCTTAGACATATAGGATACAGCTCATACATTCTGAGCTGGCTGATATAAATAAGGCCCCAAAATTAGGAGAAATGAAGTCTATTTATTGGCTGTCTTTTCTGCAGTAATTGAAAGAAGCATTTGAGGGACCATGCTGGTTGTACCTAGTAAAGACACAAGGAGGTTCCAGAGATGTCATTAAGTATGTGAAATGCAGTTTGGTTCATCTCCATCCTGTAAAGATCTCAGTATCATTTTGTTTCACCTCCTGCCTACACGGCACAGGTTTTACAGAAGGGGCAAGTTGTGCATCCAGAGTGGTGGTGACCATAAACATAATCCTCATGCATTCGAGCAAGGGCAGCCTTGAGCTTCCCATTACACCAGTGACTTAAGACACACCTTTGGGGCACTGACGGTGACCCAGATACATAAGGCTGCTTCCTACCCTGCTGTACTGCTCACCTTCCTGACCTCCTACTCTGAAAAATCCAAGGATCGGCCTACAAAGGAAACTGTAGCAAAGGATACATTGGTGTCAGGTCTATCATTATCATAATTGGTGCTACTGAAGTAATTCAGACATTAAGCCTGTAATCTCCTCTGCTGTTTGTATCTGCTTCATTTAAAAGTTACAAGGCCAAAAATTCATTGAAACCAGCGGAGATTCGCCTCTTCACTTATTTCCATTTTGGCCCACTGAGTGCATGAAAAACCTTGCCAAATTCTTTGGAAGCTTGTATTTGCAATATGACTTCCAAAATAATTAACCCTGGAAGCAGGATTTAACAAACTCACGTTTGATACGTGGAAGGAATAATACCTGAAACATCTTTCTTATGCTCAGCCTTTTATGACTCAGACTTTAATGATTGCAATAAACATTAGCTTACCTAATAAAAACTCTACTATTTCGGAGCTGGCTCACAGTATGTTAACTGCATCTGGTGTCAACTGGAGCTAATTAATATTTTTATAGGTGTCTTCTCCCCACTGTAGTTTAAACGAAAATATTGTGGGGTGCTTACATCAAAGCTGGAGGCAGTCGAGAGCCGCTGCTTGCTTCCCAGGCTGAACTGATAGCAAGTAGACCAATTTTTATAGGATTGTAAAAGCTGACTGTGGCTGGGGTTCATGCAGAGAAGCACTTTTCCCTGTAGCTCTCACAATTCAGCACTAATGCTCATGGCTTGTTTGCTGTGAGGTGGCTGGTGAGATAGACGGAGGGACAGCGGACAGATAAACTGGCAAATAGTTCTGCCTATACTTAGACAAAGCACACAGTGACCCAGACAAACCACACTTTTTTTCTCCTCCTCCTTCTTCTAAAGGCTTTAAAAATGTGCTCTATCAAGCATTTACTTGTGGCACAGATAAGATTTATCTAACAAGACTGGGCTAAAATTAAAAAGAAAGATGAAATAGCACAAGCGGTGCTAATATGTGTTTTGAAGCGTACGAATCGGCCAGTGCAATGTCACAGCCCTGGGCTACATTTGCAAGTGGTCGAGCATCTCCTTTTTAAAAGGTTAACCTACAAAGAGCACACAAGCCCCTCTCTATGAATATGGGCAAACACCCAGGGAGCTCCACAACAATAAGAAAATAATGACATCAACCTGACCATGCTTAAGTACATAACATGCTGAAGGTTCACGGTTGTGTGGCCTGGAACAATAAAGGAAAAATAAAGAAGCCTGCTTGGTAGGCCCCAGCTGTTATTAGCCATGCTGTGAGATCAAGGGAAGGTATGATATGGGCTGCCATTTCAATTGAGACCAGGTTAATCTCTCAATTTGTGGAAAAGAAAAACTAAAAAAAAAAATAAAAATAGGGAGAGAGAGAAAGCAGTCTTCACTCCGCAGTGCTACATATGGGAGAAATAACAATATCCCTATTTACATAATCTGTATTTAACCCTTTCCTAATAGAGACTTAATTTCCTAAGAGTCACAAACTGCAGATTTAATTTTCCTGCCCCCCAAAATGAAATATCAAACCTTTGTTAACCATTTCCCATTGGTGCTGCCATCGTTGGTGGCTGACATCCAATGCTGCCAGTGCTTACCCAGGGGGGACTGCTGGTTGCTGCTGGGAGATCAGAAATAGGTGGAAAGAGCAATGGATGCTACTGTTTTTCTGTCACTAATCTGTTTCTAGCACTGGATAAATAATTTAAAATTTGTGCTATAATTAACAGTCATGAAATTTGGCAAATGATACCAAGCTCTTTCACCAATGATCTCAACTAATATATTGAATTTTTCAAGTGAAGTGCTTTATAGGTGTAAATAGTCCTGTTTTGTGTGGCAGTACTGTGTGAAGACAATGTGGAGACTTGCTCTCCTAACTAGTTTTGTTCTGTACTGATGAAAGCAGTGAAGGGAGTCCAGACTCCTCCAAGGTCGCCTGCCATCCTCCCTTGGGATCCAGGTCAAGGCAGGATTTCCAGCAGGTCCATTGAGGAAAGCTGCTTTCCTGCAGGCTTGGAAAACTGAAATGGAATCTCTTAAAGACTGTAATTTATGAAATAATAGCCTAGAGATACTGTATTATATTATACTTCTTTTTATGTGTAGTTTATGATGTGTAAGCCAGTGTGTGTGCACAGCCCACAAGGCTCCTGTAGACATTAAACTCCTCCTGAGTGCTGTCCTCTGCATCAGCCCTCTGGAGTCAGGGGAGATTACTCCCTCCTCAGGAGTGTCTCAGCATGATCACAGAAGATGAGTTAGGGGAAAAGGGACCCTGCAGTGAAGGCTGAGGCCAAGATGCTGCTGAGGACAGGGAGTAGGCAGGACTCTGGCCCTGAAAACCCAGTGCTTCAGAGGGAGCCAGGGGACTGTGTGCAGCTTGTCAGAATTTTAGAAAGTCACTGAGCTGCTGGTCTGAGAGCAAACCTGAGGGAATGGACCCACCTTGTCAGGACACAGGAGGCAGGGAGAGAATTTTACCCAGTTTTTCATTCCCTTTTCTCTGTTCTTTATTTTTTCTGAGTTTTCCTTCATTAGAAAAAGTTCACTGTTCTTGTCTCTGGTTTATGAAAAACTCTCTCTGGTGTTTACAAAGATAGTGCTGAGTTCTTGGATTTTTTGAAGAGAAAGATGCAGCAGAGTCATCTCAAAGCTCTGCTGACTCAGTATCACAAGTACTAAGACTGACTAAAAACTAATGCCTTATTTTCCAGGTATCCCCAATGATTTGATCAGTTAAAATAGCTGAATGAAGCTGAACCAGGGCAGAGGACATAAAGGAAGGCTGTGGCAAGACAGGAAACATGTCCCTAAAAATCCAGGTGAGCAGAACAGCCACTGTGCAATCACTTCTCACTGAGTCACTGCTCTATCCTCTACTGTCATCAAAAGGTTCATCCAACAGTAGGAGCTGTATTTATTATGTTTCTCAGATGTGCACACCTCAGGTTCTTATGACTTTATGTTATAACATTTTATCATTAGTTTAATGACTTAATCGTCTAAATAAGGGAGGGAATATCAAAATTGGTTCCTGGAGGATACCTGGACAGGGTTAGTTTTATTTTATTAGTGTAACGATCATGCTTGGATATTTTTTATTTTAAAGACTATGCCTTTTAAGAAAACCATCTAGGTAATATGAAATATATATTATTGCAGAGAAAGAGCTATACTGATAGAGTTGTAAAACTCTTTGCATTTTCTAACATAATATATATTTTTTAATTAATGGTCTGTTACAAAGTGGAGCTTAGCAGCATTTGCCTGAAACATTAACAGTGGCCAACTCCTTTGCATGAAAGTTTTTGGTACAGGTTATTTAGCATATTCATTTTTCCTGAGATCAGGGACCACATTAGAACCTAAAAATCTTTGTACTCTATTCATAGAGAAGTTGCGCTTTGTATATTTTTCTGCTGCATTAAATTTTTTTGTGATTAAATACCAAAGTGCAAAGGACTTGAAAGCAGCTGTTTGTTTCTATTTCTTTTTTAGTTTTACATGAATTCCTTAAAAAGGTATTCCTGAAACTGTAAGGCCAGAGTGGTCAAACAGTGGTTAAAACCAAAATCCTCTCCTTAGGCTCCTGAGTACTCCTTTTTCAGAACTATTCAACCTGTGTCTTAGATCTTCCTTCCCTAGTAAATGTACTTCCCTTGTCTGTGGGCTCAGTAACTCACTTGTTCACTGAATTGACAGAACCAACTTAATCTTTGCCAGATTTATGCAGCACCTTGAGGAAAGACTGTGCTCATATCCATTGAGCTCTGTGTGGTCGGTGGCTACATTCCCTCCAGTGCCCATTGTGTCTGTTCCTCAGTGCTTTAAATTCAACACTTTCAGATTATAATGAAAAACTTCCAGATGTAGAGTTTAAATTTTCATTACATATGTTATCAGCAGGGAACATCACCGATTTCTAGTGCCTGAATGAGTTCTCTGTGTTACCTGTAATGTAAAAACCCCCAGCAATAACAGGGATATCACATCCTAATTAACCACGATATTCTTGCACAGATAAAAATAATTCTATCACCTACTTCTTCCCTACTTAGTAACTCTTGCAGCAAGAAGATGTGGTCCCAAATAATGTGCCTGGATGTGCTGTCGTGGAAAGATGTGGCGTGGCTTCCTTTACAACGTAAGGAGTCAGTTCTGGATCTTTATTATAAACTTATTTAGATTCATTAGAAAACATTTCTGCTGTTTTGTTGCCAAATAGTTCCTAGCACACACTAAATCATGTCTTATTTTATTCACACTGCACTTCACAGCAGTGCAGCCAGGTGTTAAATAATAGTAGAGTTACATCAGACAGCTTGGCCGTTCAGTTGGGAGAAGCATCCAAAAGTTCAGATACTTATCTGGAATCCTCCCAAAGGGTGATGGTCTGGAAACTGAGCTAAAAAAATATCACTAGAAGAGGTGCTTCACAGAGCCATCCCCTTTTTCTGTTTGTAAGGTACCTTAAGGTACAGAGGTTTGAATACTTTAAAATAATTACATAATGTGTTATTTAATAAAAGGTACATGTGAAGCCAAAGATTCTGGAGTTGCTGACTTTTGATACTGTTTTGTGTTTCCTGTTCCCATTACAATCAGTAGTACCGGGAGGAAAATAATCAGTGAAGCAGCTTTTAAAAATATTGTATCAGAAACTAGGAAAACACATATTCTTGTTTTTTAATAGTATCAGAAACTAGGAAAACAGATATTCTCGGTTTTTAATAGTTTATTAAATTCAATCTAATTTTTTATATTTTTGATGATTCTGAGCTCCTCATATATGCACATACATGATTTGAAAGGACAACAAACTGAAAGGAGAAGAGAGTAAATCAAATTTTGGCAAGCACAGTGTTTTACTGACAACGACAAACAGGCTTTTATCTCATTTCTGTACCTATGAGGCTGAAAGACAAAGTTCCGGCTTTTCTGAACTTAGCAAAATCAAGGTTCTATTCGTAGAACACCCCAGATACTTGCTGCTGAAATCCATTGCAGTTTTCCAGCAGCTGTGTCCAGAACAGAACCCTGATATTCTGAGTATGGGCTTGGAGGTCTCCACTCTGAATTTCCTTGTTATGAAGTTGTGTTCATGAGCAACGGGGCTACCACGTCAAACTCCTCAGCCTGTGGCTTTCGGGGGGGAAATTTTGCTGGTGCAAGATTTCAGTCTAAAATACCCTGTTTCTATGTATAATATCTCCCAGAATAAATGATGTATTTCTCATTTCCCTCTGGGAAAGATGGTTATTGTCGTGGTGAGAACAGGGCGATGGTTCCCCACCCCCCCATTTTCTCTTTGGACTTTATGTAAAAATAAGGTACTGTTGGAGCTGTATACAAGTGTGAGACCACCAGCTAATTTTGCATAGCCCACTGAACAGTTAGATGGGAATTGCTCTTCAGGGTGTTCTCTTTGACAATAAACAGAAGCCTCAAGTCTGTGTTTGGCTGCAGTTCAAAAAAATTACTAAGGAATCCTACACACTTATGTATATGAATACAAGCAATTGCACATTCCCATACAGTAAGCTTGCAACCACAGTTATTAACATTTTAAAATGAGTAAATGCAAATAAAATGACTGAGTAATACATGTTATGTTAAGATCAGCTATATGAAAAGCAAAAGGATTAAAAGTTAATTTCATCCTTTTTAATTCAAGGGACATATAAATGGCATTCTGGGTAGAGTCAACTCCTCTTTTATCAGTCCTTTGATGCTGCTTTCTCACTGATTCAGTTGTTCAAATGCTACCTACATAATAAAATCCTGAGTTAATTTACTAAGATTTTACACCAGTGCAAATGAAAGAAGGGAAAGTGCTAAACAAGGCAATTAGCACTCTGTTTAGTGCACTCCCAAAATAAATGTAGGCAATTTACAATTTGGCAAATGGTACTCTATCCAGATCCAAGTCATTTCAGCCTAAGGGGCTGGTGTAGTTCATTAGGGGTGAAGGGAAAGGGTCTTTGTTTTGCTTTGCTTTTTAACTATATGTATATATATATATGCATAGAAATACACACGTTGCTATTAAGGTTCACCCCATTTTACCATGCAGCAACAGATGTGACCCCTCCTGGGGTTATTAGGATTTCTGGTGGAAAAATGTCAAGCTCAGTGCTCACACTGGCCACATAAGTGACCTCATTTACAGTGATAATGCTCTTTCCAAAGTGAGGGATTCCAAAATTGGCAACTCACTGATAACCTCCTTTGTGGCTTTCTTGCCATGATGGTTTTTTGTGTACTTACATGTTTATTATCACTGGAGCTGTTCAGATCAGATCTGTGAACCTGGGAATGTCCTGAGTGAAATGATAAGATAAAGCACTCTGCAACTACAACTGACTCTCTTTTTAATTGACAGGAAGACTGCACTATGACTTCCATGTTTATTCTTGTAAGCTCCTTATTAATGCAAAAATAATAGCTGTTATTAATGCAGGATCACAGCCAGCATTAATATTTAAGATGTAAGAATGAAGGAGGTTAAATACGTGTTTATATTAGTTTTAAACAAAGAGCTTTGCAAAACAGTTAAGGCAAGTAATGATGACCACGTTCACAGAGAGTGTATGTGGTGTGAAATACCTGCTACATTCTGGGGTTTAAATACATATTCTTACTGGGATAAAGGTCTTTGATGAGTCTCCTGCCTTGTCATGCCATTGTCTCTCTGAATTGCTACTGCTTCTTACTAAAGAGAATACAGATGAAGATTCTGAACAAAATATGTAATATGCTATGATATTAGCACTGATTTATTTTTTGTTTATTCAGTCTGTAGAGCTCTTTTATATGATAGATCATAAGGTAAAAGCATTCTTTTGTGCCCTCTAGCTGCTGGTTGCACAAATGAAAGAAAGAGGGAGAAAACAACCCTGTGATTATTAAATTCTCCTCATCTTTAGGGTTAAGTACCCTGGCTAATAAAGATCTCTCATGAGGATAAAGTTTCTTTCTTGGCAATGTCACATCCATTTAAGTAAAAATCATCTGGATGCTTTCAGGGATTCAAGCTGTTACCTTTACATAAAGCATCTACACCAATTCTTTGTATTGTTTTTATCCTCTGAGAAAGCCTGACACTGCATTTCTTGGTTAAGCAAACCTCCCACTGAGGGCAGGCTGTGGGATTGGGCCCTTTTGTGCTACAGAAATGTCTGCTTCACAAGAAGGAAAAAAAATATTTATATGTTCATGTAAAAATGCAAGAACTACTTAGTATTATTAAACAAGCTGTTTCAGACAGTGACAGTTCAGCCTGATCTTGTACTGAGCAATCATTAAGACCTTTGATTTCAGACTTGTTTTTGTTAGCATCATGTTTGCTGCTGATCTTTACATCCTCATATCCCAAACTGCTTCATTCTCTTTGGTAGGTTGTTCTAATAATACATTTATTAAGACAAATACCAAGTTTCTGCATTTTTACAGCTTATAAAAATTAATCTTTTTTTTTTTTTTTTTTAAAATTGTACTCCAAACAACCTCATCACCCAACACTGATTGTATATGGCTAAATTCTTTGCAAAATATTTTGGGCCAAAACACCACTGATGATCTCTCTGGGTTCTAGTTGGGTATGTGCAAATTTGGTTTTATGCAGGCTCACTTCATAGCAAAAGGGATCTAGTTTAGACAGTAAAAAGAACTTAATAACTTGTAGGCACAGTGAAGCACTGGCATGGATCGCCAGGGGAGGTGTCAAGTCTCTGTTGCTGCCGGTTTTCAACAAGAGGTCGGACAGACGTGTCAGGAAGAGTTCAGGTATCTGATCCTGCCCCGAGGCAGGTATGCAGCATGGATGAGCTTTGAGTCCTTTTCAGTTAGGTATTTTTATGATTCAGTGCTCCTGCACTTTGCAGGTGAAGCTCTGTGAATGCCTGAATTGCATTGCCATGGGTAGAGCTGTTCCTTCCCCTGAAGGCTGTGCCTACGTTTCGGAGACAGGGAATGATACTGATGCCCATCCCCTCCCACCCCTTGGAAGAGAAGGAGGTTGATCAGCCTCCAGGCAGTCTGTCAGCAAGCTGTCCTCGTCAGCCAGAAGTTTAGTGTACCTCTTCACCTCTGCTCATGATCTGTTTAGGTGGGCATTTTCCTTCTCAGAGTTGAACCTTACATAATACAGAGTGAAGCGGTCTTTGCTGAACTGTTCGTAATACAATAACACTCAAAACACATCTGAGTCTTATTCACATTTCAGAAATGAAAAGGGAAAAGCCCTTTCTCTTGGCATCAAACATTAGCTGTTATTTTTTGTTACATCCTTGTTATTTCATCAAAGTTGGGATTGCAGAGGAATACCTGTGATCTGTCTTTGTCCCTGTGATACATATGCATCTTTTCTATTCCTATCTGCAGACTAAATAATGCTAGGAAAGAACCAGGCAAGATAAAAAGGAGCATAACTTCTGAAGAAACTGTTTTGCTCTGCTTTGGATTTTCCCAATATTGTCAATTCTTTGTTTTGAATCCATTTTTTCGCTGTTAAGGGAAGAAGAAATATACTCCAGCCAGTCTTGTGTTCCAGCTTCTTTACCTTTGTCTGCCTAACTCAGCTGGTATTTAATTGGTCAGCAATAGGAGGGAAGTCTCCTTTGAGGTAATGAATATTGACTGTTTATGTTGAAATGTCACTGTGAAAAGAAAGCCCAGCACCAAAGAGGCGGAACTCAGTGTGAGAGTTTCAGACACAAAGGAGACACCAGCAAAGCACAGGCATTGAAAAGCAAAGCAGCTGAAATTCAAAGAAAAGATGAAACAGAAATGGTCTACATGTGTGGGAATTTTAAGCTGTCAGTTGACAGGTGAAAAAGTCATTATTCCACCTGTTAGAACTAAGTGTAATTGCTTGTTTTTCCTAAAATAACACAGAGGCCATGACTCATAAATTTTTTAATTGAAAATTCGTTTAAACTTATTTGCTAATACTTTACTTTTTCTTTTGAGGTAAGTGGATTAAACTCATTAGCCAATTTTTCTACCTCAGACATGTGAGAAGGAAGGTACCACATTTTCTGTGTTGTATCGGGTATTAGATAATCAAATCTTTTATTCAGCCACTTGCTTTTTGTCGTAAAGCAACTTGAATAGCAACTTTAGAGTTCGACATGCAAGTTTATCA